CACTGGACAGGATGAGAATTTGATGTCTGGATGGCAGCATGACATCAATACAGTCTCCCTTGACAGATTTCCCTCCAAATGTGAAGGGCTGAGAACTCATCAGCTGACAAATGTCCTCAGCAACAACCTTTCAGAGTAATTAAGAGCAGAGACATAGCCTCCCTCCAGATTTTTGAGCCCCACTTGCTAGTGGATATCTGGGACCTGAATAATTCTTGGCAGGTATTTGGTATCTCAAGTTTCTTTGCAATGCTTTCTTTACTCCAGAAATATTGAGCCAACAGAAACATGGATCAGAATTTGAACATACCAGCTAGATTTAAGATGATATTTGCCTCACTAGTGAGATTACAACTAGAATTGTTGGGGAAGTCCTGTGTATATGTTAATAAATTACTGCTGGCCAATAGGAATCTAGATAGGTGGGGCTAGGAGTCCAGGAGGACTCTGGGTAGGAGAAACACAAGAGAGTCAACATGTAACGCCATGGGGGTAGGAAGCCTGGAACTATTCTCCGGTAAGAAACATACTTAGATTAACAATTATGGGGTAATTACTTAAGTCAGAGCTAGCTAGTAAGAAACAAGCAAGGCCAACAGCTTCATAATTAATATAGCCTCCTGTGTGTTTATTTGGGACTGATGCGGATCTAGAACCAGGCTGGCGGGAAAGCGGCTCTGGAATCAGGCGGGCGAGAAGGCTCCTCTCAAGGAAAGCTTCTCTTAACAAAATGGTGATCAGGAGTGGGATCATGAATTTCCACGTAGAATGACAAAAGCTTTAAAGGAATTTTAGGAATGGAGAGAAGCACAGATTTTTGGTAGCAGCATTTTTCTCAGGTGTGCTCTGTTTTCCTATCGACAAGCCGAGATTCATGTGGCTCGCTTACTGGAGTCTTCCTGACTCGCATAAAAAAACAAAAAACAAAAAACAAAAAACAAAAAAACCCAGCAAGGTTGTTTTAAGAGACTCTGCTAACGATTGAAAGGTGTGTACGTACAGCTGGAAGTGGCAGCATTTGCTGGATGTCAGCATGGACTGAGGCGGTAAGCTGAAATCACGCTTACGCCTGCCATCTTGAAACGGCAGTTTAAAACAGCCTCTGTTTTACACATAAGACACGTGGCCAGAAAAACATAAAGATTTACAGTAAAGTCAGACTTAAATGAAGAAAAACCTCTAAAGGTTTATAGTGTGTTTAAAAATATACGTGAGATTGAGAGAGAAAATGAAACGACAAAGTGGTATATAAGTACAGAAGCCGGCTGTGGTGGCGCACACCGGTAGGAATTGCTCCAGAGGCAGAGGCAGGCAGATTTCCAAAGAGAAACCCTGTCTCAGAGAAAAATAAATAAAAGTGAAAGAAATTGAGTAATAATAATAATAGATTAATAAATAAGCCACGTAAAGATGGAAAATACACAGAGAGTCTGGATACTGTACGCTATTATGTTTTTCAGTTTTTTCATTGCTAAGGAAGGAGCAACTGCTAAAGTACACTTGATTATACATGCTGCTGAATTAATTCAACTTATATCTTTTGAAAATGCCTTGACCTCAAAATTTAAGTATGAGGATATGTTACTCGGAAAAGGAGTTTTAGTTTATGTTTCCACAGAAAATGAAAAGCTGAGGATTCCTTCCAGTCTTCTGTGGTTTGACAAACCAAGACCCCCGGAAGCAGTGGACCAGGTGTTCCAACTATTGAGACAGCTAAGATGATGCAGTTTTACAGACACCGAAAATACGGACTTATACAGGTTTCTGAGTTTTGTCATGATCCCCACGGTATGAACAGCGCCCCCTTCCAGCAGGAAGCAGTTTGGAATGAGCGATGTCCCAATTCCCATCTTGTTTATAAATCTTTGTTTTCATTTAAATGGGTTGTTTATAATTGGCTAATGATCACAGCCAATCTTTTTTAATGGTAAAAAGGGGAATTATGGTATGGGTATTGCTTTTCATTTATTGAGACAAAATCAAGGTCAATTTTGTGATGCTTATATTTCTCCTCTTGATTAAGTATTGTGCTTATACTGTTCTTTTAAAACATAATACATAATTGAATACAGACTATAGATAGTTACTTATAATAGAATTTATAGTTAGGTAAGTTAGATTTTCTAGATATACAGAAATATATTTGTGATATATAAACAGTCTTCAAACCTCTCAAAGACCTTCAGAAAATGGCATTTAAAATGGCTTAGGGTTTTTCTTAACAATGAGAAATGTCTTCTCCTGGTAGCACCAATTACGTCTGAGAGGAAGATGGGCATCGAAGAAACTTGTTATGGAGTTTGCTTTCAACATGGCAAGATTAGCCATTTGGGCAAGAAACTGCTCTTGCCTAGACTGACTGTTGCTGTATAAACTGGACATGCAGGACCCACAGGAAAGTGAATGCTGAACTCAGTCTTACAGGGTTCCTGCTTCATGGAAGAGTCCGCGAGACTTTCTGCAGGACAAAGAAAAATGAATGATAGACTGTCAATGCAGATAGACAGTTTGAAATTTCCTGCTTTGCTGAGAAGTGTTCCAGACACATTGTGGCCTATGGGCTGAAGATGGATGCCCCAACGTTACAGAGGAACTTCGGGTGACTGTCCAGGCAGTAAGATACCTCTGTCAATCCTAGTGTTTATATGTTATCCTTCTGTGGTCTTTGATGGAGTTGAAGACAGATAGTTATAATTATAGTTTTCCTTAGTGATGATAAAAGATAAGCTACATATAGGACTTTGGACTCACAAGGATGGGATGAATGATATTTTCTTTAGATCTTGCTAAATGTTAATAGACAAAATGTTGTAACTGTGTTCTTACTTGATAACTGTTCTGTCATATACAATTTGACTATGTTAAAGTTAAGACCTTTCTTTTTGTTTAAACAGAAAAGAGGAGATGTTGGGGAAGTCCTGTGTATATGTTAATAAATTACTGCTGGCCAATAGGAATCTAGATAGGTGGGGCTAGGAGTCCAGGAAGACTCTGGGTAGGAGAAACACAAGAGAATCAACATGTAACACCATGGGAGTAGGAAGCCTGGAACTATTCTCCAGTAAGAAACATACTTAGATTAACAATTATGGGGTAATTACTTAAGTCAGAGCTAGCCAGTAAGAAACAAGCAAGGCCAACAGCTTCATAATTAATATAGCCTCCTGTGTGTTTATTTGGGACTGATGCGGATCTAGAACCAGGCGGGCGGAACGGTTTCTCACACGGAAAAGCTTCTCTTAACATTTCTTCTGATGAAGTCTTGATTCTATGCTGGAGAATGTTATGGTTTTTGGTTGTCTAAGGCTTCCTTAGGCCCCCTCAGTTCTCTGAAAGGGTGCTGTGAGATAAAGAAAGGCAATCAGATCCAAAATCAGCCTTGCTCTGTCACAAATTAGACAAAATCCTGGCCTAGTCACACATGGAAAAAGAGATTCAAGGAAGAAAATCCTCCCCAGGATGCCATTGTTTCTGAAAATACAACACAATGGAGGCTCACTTGCCTGTGACACTTAGTGGCCTTGAGGCTGCAGCTCTGACTGCAGGGGCTCTCATCATGGCCTGAAGCCTGCTCTAGCTCATGTTACAGTGTTTCTCATCTGGAAGAGGCAGTCAGGGGACTTTCCTAGCGGGGTCCTGCAATGTCAGCTATCCAGCTGTGACCTCACAAAAACTCAATTGTGCTTGACACTCAACATTGATCATGTGACAGGTTTGTACCCCTAAGGAGCAAGAGTCACAGAGTAGATTGTCCTTGAATTTCAGTCATCCTTTAACCAGTGCCACAATTTGATCTGAGTACTGCATGTATGTGCTTTATGAGAAAGAACAGAACATGCTCTGACACTCCAGGGACATCATTGTGATGACTGGAATAGCACATTAAATCCATGGATAACAGCATAGTTGAGAAACAGATAATGTTCATGGAGAGTTAGACACGCACTATCTCATTGTATAGGTAGACATAACACAGCATTGCAGCTTAGACAACTGGACAAGGTCATGGGGCATGCTCTTGCCTCCTGCTCAGAAGGAACCTTACACCCAGGCAATATACAAGATGGAGCCTATCATGTTGGAGCAACATTTCCTCAGATGAGTGCCTGAGAACGCAGGCTCATCGGGGGTCTTTCAGTGAATAAAAACAGCCTTGTTTCCGTTGGGAAACAATCTACACCCTTGTTCTCTAGAGGAGTCTGTCACAGATATCCAGTGAAGGCTATGAACAACCCTTGTTCTCTAGAGGAGTGTGTCACAGATATCCAGTGAAGGCTATGAACAACCCTTGTTCTCTAGAGGAGTGTGTCACAGATATCCAGTGAAGGCTATGAACAACCCTTGTTCTCTAGAGGAGTCTGTCACAGATATCCAGTGAAGGCTATGAACAACCCTTGTTCTCTAGAGGAGTCTGTCACAGATATCCAGTGAAGGCTATGAACAACCCTTGTTCTCTAGAGGAGTGTGTCACAGATATCCAGTGAAGGCTATGAACAACCCTTGTTCTCTAGAGGAGTGTGTCACAGATATCCAGTGAAGGCTATGAACAACCCTTGTTCTCTAGAGGAGTGTGTCACAGATATCCAGTGAAGGCTATGAACAACCCTTGTTCTCTAGAGGAGTCTGTCACAGATATCCAGTGAAGGCTATGAACAACCCTTGTTCTCTAGAGGAGTCTGTCACAGATATCCAGTGAAGGCTATGAACAACCCTTGTTCTCTAGAGGAGTCTGTCACAGATGTCCAGTGAAGGCTATGAACAACCCTTGTTCTCTAGAGGAGTCTGTCACAGATGTCCAGTGAAGGCTATGAACAACCCTTGTTCTCTAGAGGAGTCTGTCACAGATGTCCAGTGAAGGCTATGAACAACCCTTGTTCTCTAGAGGAGTCTGTCACAGATATCCAGTGAAGGCTATGAACAACCCTTGTTCTCTAGAGAGTCTGTCACAGATATCCAGTGAAGGCTATGAACAACCATACAACAGAGACGTCTTCCTGGGTTCATCCTGGAAGTGACTAAATTTATTATACCCCTAGAACACTTTACATGGGAAATGGTCAAACAAAGAAGACAGCCAGTGTTATATCAAAGAGTGGCTAAGGGTGGGACTTTCATTTCTACAGCTTCAGGCATGGTTAGACACATGTCTATTGGCCATGACTTGGGAGGCAGAATCAGGCAGAGCTCTATGAGCTCAAAGAAAGCCTGCTCGGGACATACCAGAGAACTCAAAAGATATCAAGGAGAACATAATTCTGCAGATTCACTGAATATCAACCATATTTCTTCCTGGAGGGAAGTTCTTGTTGACTGGACCACACAATATTCTGAATTGTTCTTTGTCTGGTGTTTCCTGGAGCCTTGCCTATAGGCAGAGCCCACAAAAGGCAGAGATCCAAGGTAGAAAAGATGGACTTGAATCCAAATCCAATTCCCAGTCCGGCTCATACCTCATCTGAGAGACAAGCAAATAGTGCTGCAGCTTTGCTGTTAAGTCCTTTTTCTGGAGGACCAGCTCCCTCTCCTTTCACTGGAACTGCAGATTTCCCTCCAGTCTCTGCTGCTCCTGTTCATTAGAAGACATTGTTCTTAGTAGAGGCTTGAGCACAGACACGAATACTCTCTCACACAAGCACAAGCACACACAGAGGATCTCAAGAGCTTGCTGGTCAGTCAGTGTAACCCAAAAGGCAAGCATTGGTGAAGGAGGAATCCTGTTCCCTGTAGAAACTGACAGACCCTGTGGTCTCCTCTAACCGCCATCCACATGCATGGGGCATTACACCCCTCACTTTCCTCCACTGCCCTCTCCTGGTGCTCACGTACATGCACATGCACACGCACACAGACATGGAGAGAGAGAGAGAGAGAGAGAGAGAGAGAGAGAGAGAGAGAGAGAGAGAGAGAGAGAGAGAGAGAGAGAGAGAGAGAGAGCTCAAAAGAAGGCAAGGAGATCACATGCCAGATGAGCACACATGTTTAGCCTAAGCATAGCGGCTCTTTCAGAGGAGTCCAATGACTGTGATCTCCATCCCTTGGGACTGATATTGCATAGGAGAATATCCTATGCATTCTGGGAACTCACCTCTGTCCCAATCCCTGGTTTTCATTTGGAGGAAACAGAATAACAGTGTCTCCCCATTTCACTCCTGCCCAGGTTTCAGGTTCTATTTCTGGGAAGCATTTAGAAACACGGTGTTGGGCAAAGGGACACCAAGAAGGTGTAGACTTCCAGAAGCCCAGATCTTAGATGAAATAAACTAAGAGGGAAATTATCAAACCAAGATGGTCACCATGGCTTTGGAAGCACTGAATACCTGTTGTGAGGGGATCCTTCAGTGATGGAGATGAGGCAACCTCGTAGCTCCTTTGTTTCTCTGGCTACTTCCTCTAGGTGATTAGTCAGACTCTCCATCTTCTGCTTCACCTCCTTCTTAGTCAGGAGAGTTTGAGGAGTGGATGGCTCTGCAGCAACCCCTGTGGGTTGAGGAACACAAGTCAACTAGGATTTTGACAAGCCATAGAGGATATACAGATCACTCTCAGCCCTAAAATATCATTGAGTAAATGTCTATGCCTGTGGCTCAGTGACACACCAATGGATTTTTACCCAGGCTTGAAATGCCTCTCCAGGGGATCTCAGCTCTCCCAACTCTGAAGGCAGTTGGGTATCTCAGACAGCTGGTTTCCTCTGCCTCCTCAGCACATACTTCAAGCTAACAAAGAAAGAACTTCCTCAGGCTCATTCACAGCTGCAGTCTCTCCATTCAACTTACCTGTAGAATTCATAAGTCTGTGGGTTTAGAAAATGGGAGGCAATTAGTGTTGTCCACAGGCACTCGGGTATTTTTGAGAACCCCAAATATCCTGTCATGTCATTCAAAGCACATGTCTATAGATGGAGAAGCCATATAGGTGCAGAACATAGTCACCAGACTCACCAAGCCCCCTCACTGCCAACTCAGGGGACACATAGAGGTTTACAATCCTTAAGGATATGCACTGGCTTTGAAATTAAGTGATGACCTGCCTGTAGCTGGACACACTCCACTGGTCCCTCCCTCATGCTGGTCTCCTTTTGATCCTGGTTCTCCAACAATCCTCACTGTTCTGCAAGATTGAAATCTAAGATGTACCAGCACAATAGCTTTTGCCTTTGAAGTTCCTAGCTTCTGAGAGAGACAAATTACTACCCTGGAATCCTTGACTTCCAGGAGACTTGTCAGGCACTGATGTCCAATTTCTTCCCAGAAACCCCAATTCCTGTGCCCCATTACCCAAAGTCTCTCAGCTAAAGGCAACTGTCTCCAGGGAGCTCCCAATCTCCTGCCCAGGACTTACTGGTCTTCCTTTTGAACCGTTTCTTTTTTGATCATTTAAATTCAGCCTTCTTCTTCCTCTCTCGTCTCTTTTCCTTCTCCAGATTATCTCCCAGAAGAATCCCCAGTCTTGCCAGAGTGTTCATCATTGAACCTTAAGGGTACTGAATTACTATCCAAAAGCAGTTGGTGTTGCTGTAACACAGGTGACCTCACAGGATTCCATCGTCTCCAGGATATAAGACAATGTTCAGGGAAGAGGCCGCTGATGTCATGTGGAACTAACATGGCCTCCCTGCTAACCAGTTTTCCTTATATCTGAGCAGAAGTCAGGTTTCCATATCCAGGAATCTCTCCTGGGATACAAAGAACCCTGCAGCACCCCCTTCTTCCAAAACCAGAGATCTCTGTGATTAACTGATATATATTTAGTACTTTCCACATGGGGAAGTCACTGTTATTTCCCACTGAAATTATTTGTGCACAAAGGTAATACAATTAGATACATTTATTAATACTAAAATTCTCCTTCTTATAGGATCTGATGGTGAGAAGGAATCTTCTTAAACAACTTCTTTAAAGAGTCTAAAGCAATTATTTTGGCAGTGGGTAAGATTTTCTCTTCATGGATGATCACTGGCATTATTGAGCACTACTACTTGGGACCTAGAAGAGATCACTATCTAAAGGATGCAGTTTGAAGAGTCTTTTATGATACACCAACAGTCATACAAAAAATGGATCCTGCTTTCACATATATTTGGTTATCCCCTGTCTTTTTACTGACAAATTGAGTCCATTGATATTAAGAGACATTTATGACCAGTGATTATTAATTCCTGTTTTGTTTTGATTTTTGTTTTGTTTTTGTGAGGATGGTGGTAATAAGTGTGAATGTGTGTGTGTGTGTGTTTATGGTTGTGTTGTGTGTAGGTAGAATTTTCTGTTTCACCTTGAGTCGCTGTGTAAGGCCTGATTTATATGTACGTATTGATTAAATCTGGTTATGTTAAGAAATATCTTGTCAAGTGGGAGATACCCCCTTGAACATATTGGTACAGTAGATCACTTCATGAACATAAATCCATTAGCACAGACACTAAGGTCGACAATTAATAAATTGGACCTCCTGAAACTGAGAAGCTTCTGTAAGGCAAAGGACATAGTCAACAAGAGAAAACGGCAGGCCACAGAATGGGAGGATCTTCACCAACCCCACATGGAACACATGGCTGATTTCCACAATATAAAAAGAACTTAAGCAACTAGTCACCAAAATACCAACAATCTATTTACAAAGTGGGATACAGAACTAAATAAAGAATTCTCAATAGAGGAAACTAAAATGGCCAAAAGACAGTTAAGAAAGTGCTCAGCATCCTTTACTGTCAGGGAAATGCAAATCAAAACAACTCTGAGATACACTCTTACACTGGCCAGGATGGCTAAAATAAAAAATACCAATGGCAGTTTATGCTCGAGAGCATGTGGAGAATGGGAAACACTCCTCCATTGCTGGTGGGAATGCAAATTTGTGCAGCCACTTTGGAAATCAGTATGGTAGTTTCTTAGGAAAATGATAATCAATCTACCTCAAGATGCAGCAATTCCACTCTTGGGCATATACCCAAAGGATGCACATTCATACAGCAAGGATACATGTTCAGCTATGTTCATGAGCATTGTTTGTAATAGCCAGAACCTGGAAGCATCCTAGATGCCCCTCAACTGAAGAATAGATAAAGAAAATGTGGTACATTTATACAATGGAGTACTACTCAGCAGAAAGAAACAATGGAATCTTGAATTTGTAGGCAAATGGATGGCAAATGGATGGATCTAGAAGAAACCATCCTTAGTGAGGTAACCAAGTCACAGAAAGACAAGCATGGTATGTATTCACTCATATATGGATTTTAGACATAGAACAAAGGATTACCAGCCTACAGTCCACACCGCCAGAGAAGCTAGGAAACAAGGAGGACCCTAAGAGAAAAGAAATATGTGGTCCCTGGAAGAAGGGGGAAGGGAGAAGAATTCTTGAGCAAATTGGGAGAGTTGGCGAGAGGGGTGGGAGGGAGGAAGAGGAGATGGGGAGAAGAGGAGGAGACGGACAACAAGAGGGATCATGAAGACTGAGTCGGGGAGGAGAAGGGGAGATCAAGAAAAGAGATACCTAAATAGAGGGAGCCAGTACAGGGTTAAAGAGAAATATGGCACTAAGGAAATGTTCAAAGATCTGAAAACATGATCCCACATAAGAATCTAGGCAGTAGTGGAGAGGCTGCCTTTGATGCCCTTCCCCTATAATAAGATTGATGACTACCTTAATTGCCATCTTTGAGCCTTCATCCAGTAGCTGATGGAAGCAGAAGCAGGCACCCACAGCTAAGCACTGAGTCATACTCCTGGAATCCAGTTGTAGAGTGGGAGGAGAGATCATCAAAGCAGTCAAGACCAGGCTGGAGAAACCTGCAGAAACAGTTGACATGAACAAGGGGGAGCTCATGCATCATGGATTATGGAGCTATACAGGGTAGGTTGTCATATAATATTTATTGAGGGAGAAGTCACTTACATGAGAAGCTGAGACTCTGAGATCAATGCTCTGCTGGTCTCTGAGACTCTACCAGACCCCAAGAGAGAGCATGTCTCATTTCCCCCAGCTCTTATCTCCTGTCCCTACTATGTATCTGTGACCACACCCAAACGGGCATTGTCAGCGGTACAGGTGCCTAAGATCTCTCCCTACACTCATAGGCCCGAGACTGAGAACAGGGAAGCCAGCATAGCACTGATCCAGACCCCCTGAATGTCACTTAGGAGGCCGGGGCATTCTATGGGACCTCTAACAGTGGAAACAGTATTTATCCCTAGTGCACAAATGGACTTTGGGAGCCCATTCCCTATGGAGTGATACTATTTCATCCCTGATACATGGAGGAGAGCCTAGGCCCTCCCTAAATGATGTGACAGACTTTGATGATGCCCCATGGAAGACTTCACTACCCTTAGGGAGTGGGTGGGGGTGGGTTGTGGAGGTTTGGTAGGGGACATGGGAGAATGGGAGTGAGAGAGAACAGTGGGGGATATGTAAAGTAAGATTGTATCTAAATAAAAAATTATTTAAAAATGAAATATCTTGTTTTCTCAGTCTACTGTGACTGAAAGTTTTGATGGAAAATTAGTCTAGGTTGGTACCATAGTCTCTTAATGTCTGCAAAATGTCTGTACAGGACCTTCTGGATTTTTTATTTCACCGCTGAGAAGTCAGGTGGAATTCTGATAGATCTGCTTTTTTATGTTACTTGGCCTTTTCCCCTCATAGCTGTATGTCTAGTTTTTTGTCTATTGTGTAAGGAGAGGACTTTTTCTTGGTCCAGTCTATTTGGTGTTCTATAAGCTTTTTGTACTTTTATAGGCATGCCCTAATTTATTTCGTGAAAGTTTTCTTCTATGATTTTGTTGAATATATCTTCTGTACCTTTGAAATGGGATCATTCTCCTTCTTCCTATCCTGTCAAATTTTGGTTTCGTCTTTTCATGGTATCACCAGTTTCTTGGATGTTTTTTGTTAGGACATTTTTTGGATTTAACATTTTCTTTGACAGATGAATCTGTTTCCTCTATTGCATTGTCAATGCCAGAGATTCTGTCTTCTGCCTCTTGTACTCTGTTGGTTATGCTTGCATCTATAGTTACTGTTTTCTTAGATTTTTCATTTCCAGAATTCCAACAGTTTGTTTTATCTTTATCGCTTCCATTTAAATTTTCAAGTATTGAACCATTTCCTACACCTGTTTGATTGTTTTTTTTCTTGACTTTCTTAAAGGGATTTATTGATTTCTTTTTTGTTGTTGTTGTTGTTGCATTTTGCTTGATTTTTAAGAGAATTTTTCATTTCCTACTTAAGGGCCTTTGTCATCTTCATGATATTGTTTTTAAGTTTGTTTTCTTCTTCTTCAACTGTGTTGGACTGTTTCAGTTTTGCTACTGTAGGATCATTAAGTTCTGCTGATGCCACATTGCCCACCACTGATCTTTATATTTTCTAACATTGGCATTTGTCCATCTAATTCTTGGATGATTGTAGATATGAGTGTTCATTCTTGTGTTGTCTTTCTTGGATGGGTGTTTTAGTCCTTTATTATGTTTCCTTTATTGTCTTCCGGACTGAGTAACCAAGTTTTTTGTGATTGACAAATATCTACATCCAGTAGGGTTGTCTTGGTGAGGTTTGTGGGGTTTTGGGTGGCTAGCTCTAGTGAATCCTCTTGGTCTACTGACTGGTGTGAGCTGTCCTGTGCCTGTGGGGTCTGCAGGAGTGCAGGACACGTATGGCAGTGGGGAGGATGATGAGGTATGTGGGAGTCCCAGTTAGGATTTTTATTGCTGTGAAGACACAGCATGATTATAGCCTCCTTTATAAAGTAAACATCTAATTGGAATGCCTCAGCAGAGTTTTGGAGGTTCAGTCCATTATCATATGATGGAGAGGAAGGGGGTAGGGAGAATAAAGGCTGTTTTTGGACTTGTGGCAATATCTAGTCCAATGAATGTGATGTAAGTCTAGCTCAGCCCCAGCCTGTATCTACACACAGGTGTCTTTTACAATCTCTCAAACTCCGATGGGTCACATCATTGATCCCCTACAATACTGACACATGAAACTGATAGGATTCCAGTATCCTTTGGAGAATAGTCATTGCACAAACCTCACCACCAAGCCACGCAGGTGTCTGCAGAGTCCTGTCACACTGGTGACAGCATCCACTTGCCTTACCAAATCACATTCACGCTGGTGACTGCACCCATTTACCTTGACTTCCACCAGGAGAGCGAAAGGTGTTTGTATGTATGTCCTACATTCACACAGTTAACTTCTACTGAATAGAACATATGTGTGAATTAAACATTGTCCTCTCCAGACAAGACATGCTGAATGTCCCAGAATTTTGATAGTGTTCTAAAAAATTAGCTTATTGATAATGTTGGAAGGGTACAGATGCGACATGATATGGAGAATGAACACTAACCCACTCACACCCTGTTGTAGGAGAGCAGCAGGTTTGAAGCAATCTGTCTTTGTTTTAAAGGCCCTGCTGGGTCAATGAAAAATAAATTCAGTTAACCATTATATGGTTGATCTAACTGCCTTCAAGAACATAAAATGAGCCGGGTGGTGGTGGCGCACACCTTAATCCCAGCACTTGGGAGGCAGAGGCAGGCGGATCTCTGTGAGTTCGAGGCCGGGCTGGACCGACAGCCTCCAAAACAATACAGAGAAACCCTGTCTCGTAAAAACAAACAAGCAAACAAAAACAAAAAACAAAAACCAACATAAGATGCCTGAAGATTTCTGCTTCACAAACCATTTTATTAAAAGAAAAGAGAGAGGGAGGGAGAGAGAGTAAAGAATAACTGAATCAAAGTCTATGGCCCCTAAGTTTCTAAATAGTATATTTTCTTTTTTCTTTTGTTTTTTTTTGTTTTTTCCCCAGCTCCCTTGATTCTCTTTCCTTTACAGCCTTGTGGTTTTGATGTCATTATGTGTTTTAATCCAGTATGAATAAATCCAAGACAGATACTGTGGTTTAAGCTTCAAGCTGAAGATCAGAAAAGCGAAGGAGCCAAGCCAGAAGATACAACCTCTACCAAGCTGAAATGGCAGTCCTTTCCCCGCAAATCCTCATGGGTAAAAGCTGTCACTTCCTGTCTCCTCCTCCTTGTGTTCCTTTCCTCCCCCAGCCAAGTCACTGCCGCCTTCACCTTCCTAGTGCTGGGGTTAAAGGTTGTCATCCAAGTGCTGGGATCAAAGGCGTGAACTCTGTTAGTCTTCACTCTTGTGCAGGTCAGCCTGGCCTTGAACTCAAAGACATCCGTCTGCCTCTCTCCTGATTCCTGGGATTAAAGATGTGAGACACCACTGCCTGGTTAGCTAGTATGGCTGCTGGGATTAAAGGTATGCATCACACTGCCTGACCTCTATAACTTGTGACAGGCTTTGCTTTCTGAATCCTCAGGCATGCTTTAATAAATCATAATGACATATCAGCACAGGCTTCCATTCTCCCCTGTTATTTCAGAACAAGCCTGCCATAAATACCTAGCAGTTCCCCTTTCCCTATACACATTTGCAAATCAGTCACTTCCAAGTCACAACTACAGGGCTGCAAAGGGCAGCACTCCCGAGAGTCAGTCACCAGCTCTCCTTCAGAGAGAACTCAGCCCTCTCTAAGCCTCCCAGCCTCACCAACCACCACTAGATTTTTCACATGGTGATATGTAGCGTCCGTACATTTTCTTGACCATTACATTTTAAAGGAAGTAGGGAAGGTATTGTGCATAGTTCACAGCAAATGTAGGCCAACCAGGAGCCTGAGCTTCAGGGGACAAGAAGGAAGCCACAAATAGACAAAGCACCTGTGATCCTAAAGTGGAGAGATCGGGGTCAAAATTTACAACTTCTGACCTGGCATAGAATCCCATCTTGGTGATATCAACCTATGGCTCTCAATGTGCTGACAAATGGTGAGGAGCTTAGAAAACGGATGGCCCACATCCTTCCAAGGAATTCTCCCATCTCCACCCTGACTCAGGACATGGTGTCCTCCTGAGGACACAGAGCAATGACAACCAGGACAGCGAAGGAAAAGCTTTAGTTGTTGTTATATTATTTTCCCCAGAAAGCAGAGCAGAATCAGGGGGTGTGGATTTGCATCCAGGCATTGCTCCCTTCCCCTGTGGGCTAAGAGAGAAACTGTCACCCTGGCCACACAGGTCGAGCAGTGGCCACCACCACTACCTAGACCCACTCAGTGAGCTGCAGAGAGAAGGGGCAGAAAGCAGGGAGCAGGTCCGGGGCAGGACCGCTACTCACCTATGGCCTCAGTGCAGCCCAAAGCTGTCCTTCCAGTGCGCAATGGCAGCAGGTGAGTCTCTTCCAGAGAGGAAACTGTGGTTCTTAGCAGTTAAAATGCTTGGGAAGGATTGAATGTCAAGAGTTTTTGATCACTGTGTGTTGCTTTATTCCACACATTCAGAGCCTGAGAATAATACCACTTGCGTCTTGTGTAGTCCTGCCTTTGTGTTAAGGGAACGATACATATAATAAAATCAATAAAGACACATGTGAAAGGAGAGAGAATGAAGACATCAGGAAAAAACACCAAAAGAAAACAACGAATTTCCTGTAGGTACTTGTGGGCCATAGGTTGAGGAAACCAAATTCTGAGGCTCTTAAAAGCTGCACTTATGAAGGGAGTGGTTTTATAAGATGTCCTTTCTGGCAACTCTGGTCCATCTCAAGCCTCCTTTCTCTACCTGGAGGAAACTGACACACAGAGGCTAAACTGCCATGCTCATAACAGAAAGTATCATGGGTATCTCTGCTGTCTCCCCTTTGGTTTCTGGGTTTTGTTCTGTTCCTCAGACCTCATCCTGTCCCTGTAAATCTGATTATTGCAGTTCCTGGGAAAAGCCGGCAGTCTCCTTGGATCACAGTTTGAAGTTGCTCAGAAGGGGCTGTCACAAGCCCTAAGAGGAAAATGACCCCATAAAGGAACTTTCCGTTTCAAATGCCTTCTATTTGTTTTTGAAGGAGGAAGTTTGCCAAAGATCTGTTTGCAGAAGTCTTGCTAAGAAAGCATAGGAGTTAGAGGAGCCAAGATGTCCTCCCAGGGGTGTGCGGTCATCCGCAGAAACTGACTTAGAGATGTGTGTCTAACTACCTCTGTCTTTACTAACTGTTCAACACCAGGCTTCTGGAAAATTTTACATAAGTAATGTATGTTTGAATATGGTACATCTTAAAAATGAGGTTTGTAAATTCCTAAGGTTGTAAAGGTTTACTCAGATTGTCTTTTCTAAACCAGGCTTCTAGAAAATTTTAAGTAAGGAACAACATATGTTTGATGAATAAGATATTTGTCATATTGCTATTACAATTGCTGCAATGAAACATCAGGACCACAACAACTTGGGAAGAAAAGGGTTTGTCTGGCTTACATTTCCCCATCACAATTCATCATTACACGAAGTCAGGACAGGATCTCAAGCACAGCAGGAACCTGGAGGCGGGAGCTGATGCAGAGGCCATGGAGGGAGCTGCTTACTGGCTTGCTCCTCACAGTTTACTCAACCTGCTGTCTTATAGAACCCAGGGCCACCAGCCCAGGGATGGCCACACCCACAATGGCTGGGCCCTCCAGCATCAACCACTGATTAAGCAACTGCCCCACAGTAGGATCTTATGGATGCGTTTTCTCAACTGAGGTTCCCGCCTTTCAGACAACTCCAGCTTGTGTCAAGTTGACCTGAGACTAGCCAGCACACTGTGTTTAATTAAGGTTTATAGTTTCCTAGGGTCTCCTCATGTTAACAGTAACTGACTTCTTTGTCTCTGCTAACTTTGTTAATATTTGGATATCATTTGGAAAACTGAGTCAAGAAACCGTGACAGTCTGTAATGGTGCACTATGAAAGATCAAAACAGTAAGAGATCTGCTGAACGTGACATCTAAAGTGTTTAATGCAAAAGCTTCCCATGGTAGACAAAACTGCCAGCTCCTAAATGCAACCCTGAGGTCCCCAGACAAGGTAATGGGGCACAGATGCCTCCACCTGTGACAATGCTGACCACTGGACAAAGACCCCACGCCCTTGCCTAACCCCAGGGCCCTGCTCAAACTGTGGGCACTGTTGGGTTGACTGCTCTATCCTTGCCAAGGTGGGTCAGTTTTCCCAAGTACCTCCTCCACAGGAAAATCTCTGAGATCTTCTGGGTCTGGCAGCCAAAAGCTAATGCTGCCTTGTGCGGCCGGCAACAATTTAACGCTGTTCTGTGTGACAGCCAGAGGACCAATGACCTTTGTCTCCCCAACCTGCCCCATGAAGCCATTGAGACTGTGAGAGCCTAGGGTAATGGTCCACCACAGAAGCCTAGGTTAACTAAGTGTCCAGGTAGCCATAGGTCTCTGTCATTTTAAATGATACGGAAGCTGTGTGGATTATGCTTCCTGCTGGAATTCACCCTTCTCAGATCTCTGAGGGTGTTGGCAGTTAACTGTAGCTTTGACAGTTTAACGGTCACACTCAACCCTCTAAGGCTGCAGTTACCCACTCAGTTCATTCCAAATGTAAAATCAGGCCTCCCTTTTCCAGAGCCATTTATTAGGTCTGCTAAGAAAGGCAGGCAGGTGTAGTTCACCTTGCTGACAGACTTCACAGTGAAAGAGAGACTCACAAACCAGGTTTCAATGTAACTTTTCGCTATTTCCTTTATTTAAGGAACTTGCTTCACAATGACGGCTCTGGGGAATCAGCCACCCATCTCTCATGGTAAGTGACTGGATGAAAAGAAAAGGTTTGAAGTTTGTGTAACTTGTGAGGGCCTAAGAAAGAAATGCAAGTTGTCAAGGTCAAAGGAAGTGATTCAAGTTGTATAAAAACTGAGAACTGTTTCAAGTTTCTCTCTGTCTCTATGCTATAGTAAGACTTGTAAAGTTCAGAGTTTTAACATTAATTAATGCAGCTCTGATAGGAGATTGATCTAGCCCAGGTAAAGCACTGCTACTGTTATCCTAGTCACAAGCTCACACATTGCAATTCCCCCTGGTTGTCTTCTAAGTATAGACTTAAAAGTGCTTCTCAGTTGTGCTAAAAACACCACTGTTGAATCTATGTATTCAACCCTCTGGCTACATAGGAAAAGTGTTCCTACTTTTAACTCAGAATAATATTTTTAGATTCCCAAGTTTTTTATGACTCAAAGGCATAATTCTACTGCTTTTTTCTACAGTGAAGATTTCAGTACAGATTTCAAACAGTGGTAATGGTAATTAATATACATAACACTTTTATCTCTTTTTATGAACTAAAAAAAAATCTTGTAAGCTTCAGGGAGTTGTGAGACTGGGATTCATCTCTAACAGTGGCCTGTTAAACTGACCCCAGATAAGCACTCCTGTCAATCAACAACCTAAGTTTCCCCACTTGCCTATTCTCGGGGGTGGGGGTGGGATTTCTCTCTTTCCCCTGGTCTTGCAACTCCCTCTGTTCCCTACCACTGCCAGGACCATGGCCCTGGAAGTTTCAAATGTACACCCAAAATTAAAAAAGAAATCTTCCCATAAGCTGCTTAACTCTACCTTCTGTCCCTAGTCTGTACCTGTCCTAGTGGATTTCCCATCAACGACAGATTGCAAACGTGCCATGTGGCAGCCTCGGGTGTTCCTTCAGAACCCACGCGCCAGATTCCCCCCAGGTGAACCTGCACAGCCAGAGAAACAGATGTTTCCCGCCCGGGCCCCTCTCTCCCTTCCTGGCTTTGACCAGCATCCCAGCCTTCCTGGGCCCCTGACAAAGATGTCACAATTTCAGCTCAGAAGCAGTTACAAAGAGATTACATCACCCCTCATCATCAACAAAAGGCTGGAATGACTGATCCCAAGGAAACCCTGGACAAGTCTCTTTCAGTAACTGGTTCCTCCCAGTACTTCTCACCCTGACCTCTACCCCAAACATCTCCAGACTGGGGGCTGGGCTTCCCTTCCCCAGCTTCTGTTTTAGATAACTCAGCCATTTTCACTACATGCCCTCTTTGGTTCTCCTGGCCTCTTGGTTCCTGGCTGACTCTCTCTGGGCTCTTGATCGGCTTGCCTCCCCTTCCTCTCTCCACCCTCATGGCCCAGTCTAGGCTGCTGTCCGTGTCCAGTGTGGACTCTCAGCTGCCTCTGGCTGTCCTCATCCTCATACCTGCAATAAAATCTTGTCCTCAACCACACCTAGCAGGGGTCACGTCCCCATTTTCATTCAGGAGGCAAGTGTTTCTGCCCACTGAGCCTTTTCCCTAGCCCCTTTTGTTTAATTTTCCTCAAACCTTTGCTTCCTTGGTGGCTTTCTTATCCAGGATTTGAAATGATGTGTTGATTGTGTTCATCTGTCTAGATGCACACTCTGTGTGGTGACTGATCATTAACAAAGCAGGCTTTGGAATTCTTTGCCTGTCATTTCAGTGATTTCTGGGTTTGGTTGTTGAAAAGTTCTCAGCATCTGGGGGAGGTACACCTTCATGCTCGTTTAGATCACTTTATTTTACATCCACAGTCAGTGTGTCTGCTGCGATGAGGATTCCTCCGCTCTTATGACAACCTCTGCTTAGTGGGTCATCTGTTGTCTTTTGAGTTCTCATTTTTCATGACTTCCCAAAGGACAGAAAGGAGACTGCAGCAACATGAACTCAGGTATGTGAATCTGCACTAAGATAACTCTCAGGCTGTCATAGCAAAGACACCAGTACTAAACTTTGGAACCCAAGGGTTCCCCCATCCCATTGAACATATATAACTTTCTGAGAAAAAGCAAAAACAAGGAAAACAACCTAGACAAACAAGGCTGAAGACTACTAGTATCAAAGTATGCCCGTGGTATTACATTGAATCTGGAAGTTTACATTTAGGGAGGTGGCTGCCACCTGGCTCACACTGGTGCCAGTCATTAGGAACCACGTGCAAAGTAAGACTTCTCACATCTGGACTGTAACTAAGGTTTCCAAGAGAAAGAAGAGACGGAATGTTGCATCTTAGACACTTGTGCTGGCTTGATGTTTGTGTTTTACTGAAGCTTCACACTCATGTGAGACCTAAAGAAACGTATCATAACTTTTGTGCTCACCACATCACAACCATCCTCTTAGGAATAGCCTCTCTTAACCCCTCTCAGGTGTCCCCTTGCCTGAGTCCTTGCAAATGGAGAAGGATGCTGAAGATGATGGCCAGGGTCCAAGCTGGGGATATTGGAGCAGCTGAGGCTGCCAGAGCTCAGCAAGCAGCTCAGGGAGCCATCAGGGGTCTTGGGGTAGCATCCAACACAGGCACCCTGCAGACGCTCACAGCCGGAAGCCTAAAGTCAGCAGGTGGGGCACAGATGCCCTGGAGGCTGGAGCCGAGGGCGGCATGGAACTGACCCGGCTGGGCTGCTGGTTGTGGCCATGAAGCTGTGGGTCTGGATGGAAAGCAGCGGGATGACGCTGCTTATCTCTCAGGCAAAGGCAAAGGTGTTGTCCCAGGAAGCTGTCTAGTAGGCAGGTCACCTGTCTCAGGGGGCCACCAGGGTCCTCTGTGCTCCCAGGGAGGTAGAGCAGAAGAGGTCCAGCTTGCATTTGTGCTGAGGGCATGGATGCATTGGAGGCAGGGCAGCAGGAAGAGGGAGATGACGAACAGGACGAGGCATTGGAGCAAGAAGAAACAGGCATGGGCAATATGGCGCTGTCTAGCAGCAGCTGGTGGTGGCCCTAAGGGGATCTTGAGAAACTGAGGCTGTGATGCAGCTCGGGCCAAGGCTCTCAGGCTCAAAGGTGCTGTGGGTTCCGAGTTAAAAACCCTCTCAAGTTCCCGAAGACCAGACCCTCAACCATCCCTTGTGGCTTGGGCATCCTTTTGTCCAAGTTGTGGATGAAAAGGCAGCGAGGGCCTGGGGGGCAGAAGGCAGTGGTGTTCAAGGTGAGCAGCAGCTCTGGCTTGCACTCGGGGTGAGGCTGTCCAGCTCGTGGAAGCCATGCGGGAGCTGACACTTCTTACTTGCAAGTGAGGCTCTCCTAGAAGGTCAGCACAGCTTGGTTTGCAGGAGGAGCAGACAGAGAGGCGTGGCCTGACTCAGTCCGAGGCTAATAACGGGCAAGGGACAGGGAGGGATGCAATGATTGCTTGCAGGGCCTGGGAGGTGGGAGGAGGCAGCTGCTTGGAGAGGAGGGCAGACAGGAAGCAAGGACACAGCTTTTTGACTTCCATGCCCGCACTTCCCCCATCCTGCTCGGGCAAACCTGGACTTGAGGAACTGTTGTTTTCCTATATTAAACACCTGGCTCTCTTCATTTCAACCATAATAGCTCTAGAAATCATTATCACAAACATCCTTATTCCTGTATTATTATAAATGTCCTTATTTGTGTTAAAAGTACGTTCAAGTGACTGGACACGTGACTCAGTAGTTAAGAGCACTGGCTGTGCTTCTAATGGGCCACTGTGACTCTCAGCACCCACATAACACCTCACCACCATCAGAAACTCCAGCTCAGGGAACCCTTCACCATCTGACGTCTATGGGT